GAAGATAGTTTCCTGTTCTCCGTGCTTTAATCAAATCTGTCATGTACCCAGAATGCATCGCTTCAGTTTTCCAATAAACAGTTTTAAAATTACTTTATTGATGCTTCTTTAATGAAAAATCTACAACAAACAAAAGAAAAAGACAAAGAAGCAGCTGAACTAGCAATCCTCAACAACTTTTTAAAGAAGCAGCCGAACTAGCAATCCTCAACAACTTTTTAATTTTTACACCAGGAGCTAAATGTCTGTTTCAGGAAATCACATCCCCAGCAATCGGCGGTTGTAGAATTAAGCTGTAAAAGAGTTCATACACCACTAGTTGGCAGTGTTGTACATATATTGTACATGAATTATTGCCAGCTGGTAAGTGTCAAATTGAACTTGCGCTTTGAAATTAGCTTCTGCTAATTTTTCTATGGTATAAGCGCTTTAGAAATTGCGGAGCTAATTTTTGTATTAGCTCTGCCCACCACTGCAAACAACATACATGTCCTTAAACAGCCTTCTGATTCCAGACCACATGGATCCGGTCCAGGTCTCACCTCCAGTGTCATGTCAGCCTTCAGCTGCAGCAGAGACGACCAGTTCCTGGCCTGTGCGTTCACAGAAGACTCGGCCAGCAGCAGAGGGACTGTCCGATGACCCAAACCGGACTCCAGAGTCATCTGGACCACCTGTGGACCCACAACAGCTCATCACACATCGAGAAGCCAGAACTGAATCTGCGTTCAGTTCCAGAAGCGAGCTCATCTCCTGCACCTTGACCCGAGCAGTGAAGGTCTCCCCCTCGTTTCGTCTGTCCGTCTCCCTGTAGCTCTCGGTCATCTCGGTGGCCTGGTCCACTCCCAGGAACCAGAAGTTACAGTTGTAGATGTTCATGATGGACCACAGGTCGCTGACGTCCGGCTCGGACTCCTGGTTCTTCTTGGCGCCGGGCTTTGCTGCCATGCCGGCGGTGATCGTCATCACAGTGTTGAGGATGACCGGAGAGATCTGCGGGCAGAAACAGCCCGGTGGGTTCAGGGGCAGAACTCATCCCTGCTTTAAAGAACAACAGAACAAACCTTAACGATGACTTCCTCCACCGTCACAGAACCGCTCAGTGGTTGATCGGGTCGCATTTTAGTCTCCAAGGCCACGGAGCAGGGTTTCAGCACCTGTTGTCCAGGTCAAAGGGTGAGCTTTTATTTTCCAACCACGACAACAACAAAGACGGCTCAGAACCTACGGTGGTCACAGCTTTGTTCTCCTCGTCTCGGATGAAGGGGCAGGCCAGAACCGTCAAGCCCCTCAGGTTGGACCTCATGGTCTGGGAACCATCCTCCTCAGTCTGCAGAGTGAAGTCACACTGAAAGGAGGCCACCAGGGCCGGGGCGTCGGCCTTCATCAGGCTGGCCACAAACACCACCTCCGGGTCCACCACCACGGCCTGCAGACGGGTCCGCACCACAGAACCTGCAGAGACAGGACACGAGTTCTGATCCTCCTCGGGATTGTCCTGAAGAAGCACCTACACACGTCTGAATGCTCTGATTTTTATCCTTCTATCAAAGGGATCCATGATTAGTTGTAACATTAGACTTTATTTAATAAACATTTATTTTAACTGTAAAATAAAGACTGTAAAAATACTGTAGGAT